GCCGTCGAAGAAGACTGTAAAAGTTCCGCTGGGCGGGTGGAAGAATTGGAATGTGCCTTGGCGAGCCTTCTGTATGAATCTTTCAACAACGCGATCCGACAAGTCTGCGTTCGTCATCCTGACATTGACCTGTCTAGTTTCAACCCTGACTATGAGGTGGAAGGAAATCGTATAATTGAGCGGCTAGCGGATGGCGAGGTGACGATGATTGAGGAGGGTCCCGAGACTGAAGAAGATGAAGATGAAGGTATGCAAGGGGATCCTCCTGCTGGCGACGCAACTGATGATGGCCATCCTGTTGGGGATGAGGCTGGGCGCAATTTGTCAACGGGGCTTGCTAGCGTGTCTCCATCTGGTCTGGGTGTGGAGAGCGAATGAGGTGTTGTTGCTGCTAGCGTGGCTGAATAGGCCTCTATAGTTGAAGAGAAGGTGGCTCTTGTGGGAGACCGCCAAGTTTGATTTCAGCCACTTTAACTTACCTTTTTCTTTTTTCCATGGTTGGTATGTCAGCCATTAACTTTTCCTTTTTTGCCATGGTTGGTATATCAACCATGGACTTGAATTTCTGTGGTTGCTGTATTAAGAATGATGTTCCCTTTTTTGCCACGGTTGGTATGTCAAGCATGGACTTGTATTTCTGTGGTTGCTAATGAAGTTTGTCACGTCTTTGCTTAATCTTTCTTATACCCAAGCTATCAGCTTTTTACTATATTGTTTTTTACTTTGAAGGCAAGAATGAGAACCATCCCGTTATTCAGGTGTTGGCTGGGAGTGAGAACCGTCACAGTCCAACGTTTGGCGGGGGTGAGAACCATCCCAAGATTTTGATGTTGGCTGGGGGAGAGAACCGTCCCAGTCCAACATTTGGCGGGGGGTGAGAACCGTCTCGTGACTTTGATGTTGGCTGGGGGTGAGAACTGTCCCAGTCCAACATTTGGCGGGGGTGAGAACCATCCCGTGACTTTGACGTTGGCTGGGGGTGACAACCGTCCCAGTCCAACGTTTGGCGGGGGTGAGAACCGTCCCGTGACTTTGATGTTGGCTGGGGGTGAGAATCGTCCCAGTCCAACGTTTGGCGGGGGTGAGAACCGTCCCGTGAATTTGATGTTACGGGAATCATAAAATCGTAAGAGACTGAATATCGGAAACAATGTGATACTTATTGATTAAAAAAGTGACCTGCCTCGTTAAAAACCTTCCCAGGCAAAATCCAGTGGGACAAAAACTTGGGAAGAAAAAGAGTACAGCGTACAAGTTACATTGTGGTTCAGCTATAATATTGCCTGAGCTTCTCAGCGTTCCACGCCCTAGGGATGGCTTTCTCCTCGAGTGTCTCTAAGGCATAAGCTCCTCCTCCTAGCTTGTTGGCTATTCGATAGGGCCCTTCCCAGTTTGGGGCGAGCTTACCCTCACGGGCATTCTTGTTTCCGATGTCTGCTCGCCTAAGGACTAAATCTTTTTCTTCAAATTTCCTCATGATTACTCTTTTGTTATATGGCTGACTTTTTCTTGGATTGACGCTCAGATTGTGCTGCTCGCTCTCGGAGCTCGTCCAAGAGATCTAATGCTTCATTAAGATTTTGACTATTGGACACTTCGGTCACATGGTCTTTCCTCAGGAGGGCTCTCCGATTTCGACAGGAATCATTGCCTCCGTGTCGTAAGTCAATCTGAAAGGAGTTTCTCTGGTACTAGACTGGACGGTTGTTCGATAGACCCACAGGACATTCTCTAGATTCTCCACTCACGCCCCTTTATGCGACTCCAGCTTCTTCTTGATTCCCTTAGCTAGCATTTTGTTGGCTGATTCCACTAGTCCATTGGACTATGGGTGTTCCATTGCGGCGAAGTGGTGTCGAATGTGCAGATCCTTCATTAGCTCCCAGAATTTGGCGTCTGTAAATTGGGTGCCGTTGTCCGTTATAACCTCTCCTGGGATGCCAAAACGGTAAATGATATTTCTCCAGAAGAACTTCCTCACCCTTTGGGAGGTAATGGTAGCAACCGGTTCTGCCTCAACCCATTTGGTGAAATAGTCAATGGCGACGATGAGCCATTGGACTCGGCCTGCCGCCTCAGGGAATGGGCCTAGGATGTCCATCCCCCATTTGTGAAAAGGCCGAGGCGATGTTATCAAAGTCAGTTCTTCTGGTGGGGCTTTATGTATGTCGGCAAACCTTTGGCACTTTTCGCATTTTTTCACGTGCTCGTGGGCGTCTCGCTCCATGGTCGGCCAATAAAAACCTGCTCGGAGCGCTTTCTTTGCCAGAGAGTGGCCGCCCATGTGGTGGCCATTGATTCCTTCATGGATTTCTTCTAGAATGTACTCTACATCGCCGGGGTTCAGGCACTTCAAGAGTGGGCTTGATCAACCTCTTTTATATAAGCGCCCATGCATCAAGCAAAAGTGAGAGCCCTTTAGCTTGATATTCACCAGAAATTTGAAATGTAACCAACTGGGAATCACTGAAGACCTTGAGATGCTGGGCTCCCAGTTCTTTGGCTTGAAGTAGACCGGCTATCACGGCCTCATACTCGGCCTGATTGTTAGTGGTGTTAAAGTTGAAAGATAAGGAATGTTCAATCGCCACACCATCTGGATTTTCAATTATCATTCCGGCACCAGATCATTTGGCGTTGGTAGAGCCATCAACATAAAGCTTCCACGCCACCAACTGTGGGGTTTCTGTGGCTTGGCTATCGGTTGTGCAGGTGTGTGTCATCTCAGCTATGAAATTTGTGAGAGCTTGAGCCTTAATGGCGGTTCTTGGTTCATAGTTGATCTGGTACTCCGACAGTTCAATCGCCCAAGACATCATTCTTCTGGCGAGGTCAGGCTTGTGCAAGACTTGGCAGATAGGCTGGTTGGTGGCATTGGAAATATGGCCTCAGCCTTCGTGCGACAAAGATGAGTGTGAGGGCAACCTTTTCCACTTGCTGATACCAGAGTTTATCCCCGTGCAACACTTTGCTGATGAAGTAAACTGGATTTTGCCCCTATTGTTTTGGTTCTTTGACCAAAGCTGCGCTGATGGCCTCAGCGCCCACGACAAGGTATAAGTACAGAGTTTCTCCATTCTCTGGCTTTGTGAGGACCAGAGGGCAAGACAGGGCTCTTTTGAACTCCTGGAAAGCTTTCTCACATTCATCAGACCACCGAAAGGAAGTACCTATTTTGAGTAAGCCGAACAAGAGGAGCGATTTGTGCACAGAATTTGCCAAGAATCGGGTGAGGGCCACTAGTCTTCCGGTTAACTGCTGAACCTCTTTGACTGTTTGGGGGCTTCGCATTTCTATAACCGCTTTACACTTATTAGGGTTGACCTCTATGCCTCTCTCGGTTAGCATGAAGCCTAGAAACTTACCAGCTGGCACGCCAAAAGCGCATTTGCTAGGATTGAGCCGCATGTACTTTCGTAACCTATCGAACACGCCCTGAAAGTGTAACAGGTGTTGCTAAGGTGTTTGCGACTTGGCGATCATGTCATCAATGTAAACTTCAACGCTATCGCCAATCAGGTCTTTGAACACTTCGTTCATCATTCGCTGGTATGTGGCACCAACATTCTTCAGCCCGAAGGGCATCATATTATAGCAATAATTGACATTCTGGGTGATGAACGCCGTCTTGTTTTGGTCTTCTTCGAGTAACGAAATTTGATTGTATCCGGAATACACATCCATGAATGAAAGTATCTTGAAACCGGACGCATTATCAACCAGCTGGTCAATGCTTGGAAAGGGATAAGCATCCTTGGGGCATACCTTTTTAGGTCAGTGTAATCTACACACATCCTCCACGCCCCGTTGTGCTTTTTAACCAACACCGGGTTGGAGAGCCAAGTTGTATATTTGACTTCTCTAATGAAGCCGGCGTCACGAAGCCTCTTCACTTCCTCATCAATCACCTTCTGGCGGTCAGGGCCAAACTTTTTTTTTGTGAGACAGGCTTCGCTTTGGGATCTACAGACAACCGGTGACAGCACACTTCAGGATCGATGCCTGGCATATCTGACGGCTTCCAAGCGAACAGGTCTCTATTGTCTCGTAGCAGTTTAATCAACCTACTTTTTATTTCGGGGTCGATGATCGCCCCGATGGTGGTTGTCTGGTGGTCTGCATCGCTCAGGATGATATGTTCTAACACTCCGTCTGGCGTGGGCCTAGAATGTTCCACCCGGGGGTTGTCCCTTTCATCAAATTCTACAAGAAAACACGGGTCAAGTTCCTTTTTATTCCTGCTAGGGCTTTCTTCAATTACCTGGGTTATTATCAGTTGGGGCATTGGTTGGGTTTTGAAGGTAACCCTAGTCGCCAGTTTCAGAGATATGTTGTAGCACCTCCTGGCTACCGTTTGGTCTCCTTTCTCTGTTGCGACTTTATTGTCCCTGGCTACGAATTTCATTGCCAGATGTGGGTGAGATACGCTCGCCTCAAAGGCGACAAACATCCTCCTGCCCAAGATAACGTTGTACGCTAACGGGGTGTCAAGCACTAGGAACTGGATGTCAGCTGACCTTGAAGTGGGTGGCGTTCCCATTGACAAGCGTAGATTTATCATGCCGAGGGGTTTGTTGACTGTTGCGTCGAAACCTGATAGTTCACCCACAACAGGGGTTAAGTCATTGACCGTAAACCCTAATGCTCAAAAACAAGGTAAAAATAAGATGTCAGCAGAGCTGCCATGGTCAACAAACACTCGATTTACACCAGAATTAGCTATTATTGCTTGGATGACTAAGGAGTCATCATGTCCGGGTAGGACGTCGTCCAAATTGTTGTTGTCCCAGACGATTTTAGGCTTGGTGGGGTTCGGACTGACTTTGGCTTTGTTGATGATTTTACCGGACACCGCCAAACATTGTTTCAAATGTTTCTTTCTGGCGTTCGCTATCTCTCCACCGCCTCAGTCCGCCTGCAATCATGTTTATTACTCCGTGCTTGATTACAACGGAGTCTTTGCCAACTTCTTCACGTCCTTAACTATTGTTTGGGCTGGTTTAGACCCTGCGATCTCTTGGGGAGTTTTCTCTTCGATTACGCTCGCGGCGAGGCCTGTAGACAAATTGGCCGATTCTTCGCCTTTCTAGCGACCTGCTAGGTTCCTGGCGACGCCTGCCGAAACCAATTTCATGCCCAGAATTATTCATCTGCCTTTGGGCTCCACCTTTGATTAGCTCATCAATCTCATCCTTGAGAGATCTACATTCTTCGGTGTTGTGGCCGTTGCTACGGTGGAATTTGCAGTATACAATGATTTCTCTGGCTGGCTGTTGGTGTTGCAGGTTGCTCTTGCGCTCTTTGTATTCAGTTTGCAGGACGCTGTGAGATTGGCGTCTTGGGGTATCACACCCCAAAGGGCGTCTGGAATATTTGGAGGATTTGTGACTTTTCCTCTCTTCATCAACGTGGTCTTTTTTATTAGCTTTCTTCTCTTGGTTATGGGAGTCATCAGCTCTACTTCCCTTATACTCTTCTATTCGCATGAACTCTTGAGTTTTCTTCTTGACCTCTTCAAGGTTAGTAATTTCGTGGCGGGCGAGCTCATATGCGAATGCCCTCTGTCGCAGGCCTGACAAGAGTATGTACACTTGCACTTTAGGGTCTAAGCCTTGTACCTGAAGAGCCTCTTTGTCAAAGCAATCGAAAATGGATCTGAGGGTTTCCCCTGATTGCTGGCGAATTTTTCCAAGGGAATGAACAGACTTGGGAACTGGGCGAATTGTTGCGAAATGGGTCTGAAACTTGCTCGCCAAATCATCCCAGGACGCAATACTCCCAGTTGGCAAAGTGGTGTACCACGTCAATGCTCTGCCGTCGAGGAGTGTAGGGAAAGTCCTGCACATAAGGAGATCTGTCTCGCCATGAAGGGTCATTGTCGGTTCGAACTTTTGGATCCATTCAAAGGGATCGTCGTCGCCCACATACGTCGTGATATTAGACGGTCCTTTGAAACCGAGCGGTATGGGTGTTAGACGCAGGGTATCATTCAAGGGTTTATTGCGTCCCGAGGTATTAGCGGGTGTTACTCGTAGGTTAAGGTTACGAGCGTGTAGGTCTGGCGGTGGGTGAGGTGCTTGAGGGGCTTCAACAGAGTAAAAGAGGGTTGGGGCTTGATGGGCGCCATATTGTGGTAGGCCAGGATTCATACATGATCCTTGAGGTTGTGGAATGATTGCATTATAAGGCGGTATTGCTTAACCGTGGAATGGAAAACCAACAGGGAAAGGTGGGGGTAGGGGGAAGCTACGTTGTGAGTGTAAGGTCCAGGGGGATATGGGGCGACCACAGGGATTCGATGATCATTATACATAGCCACCGGCTGACTTTGGGCTGGTTGTAGATGATTGGCTGATGGGATAGTTTGTGGGCCAGCGACGAGGAGTAGCATTCCGAAACGAACTCCTGGTGGTGGGGGTTGAGTTGGGATTAAGTTCTCTCCTTTGACTTCGCGTATGGCTACACGATGATTCAACTCTAGCATCAGATGCTGGTAACTGTGGGCCAACAGATTGCAGCACCGGGGGGAGAGCCTCACCGGTTACTTGTTCTCGCAGAGGAGCCCTGCCGGCTGCTTGTTCAGCAGGGGATGAATGCATAGACGGTGGGGAGATGGAATGAACTGTTTGTATATGACCTTCAGGGGTAACGGCTCTAGCATGTTCTGCTCTTCTCATTGTGACAGCCATGTTTAGCTGTCAAAATATGAAATACCTCTTGTAGATCTTTGGTAGGAGAATAGGAATAGAAGTTTATAGTTTCTCACAGATGATGCCAATGTACCGTTGGGATCTATAAGCCCACTATGTTCCCTTTGGGGATGATGTTACTGTATGGATGATACTTCTAGCAAAGGTAAAGACCAAGCTAGGAAGCACTATTCCAAGTATGATGCAAGCAAATAACGATGAGGGCTCAATGTGTATATGGGTGTGACTTAATACAAATGGGCATAATAACGATACATAAGATACCTCTTGTGTGTGCCCTTGGTGGGCTATTTATAGAGAAAGATGATGGTGAGGAGGGGGTCAACCCTCCTTGGGACCTGCTAGGGATGGCAGATGCTGCTGGGGGTGGCAGTCACTGCTATGATAGCAGTGATGCATCCCTTGTGCCTGGCGATGTCAGCATATGACAAAGGGAAGTTTCCTCTTATGGTACCTGGGTTGGCCTCCTTAGGGGCTAGAACCCCGAGATGAGACATTTTGGTGTCTCTCCTAGGGAGTGTCACCGCGTTGGGGGTTGGGGGCTGAGAGTTGGTAGGGCTGACGTGGATAAGGGATTTGGGTTGCTATGTTGTTGGGCCATCCGGAACAATACTGATTTGGGGATGTTTAAAGTATTAATCTCAGGACTCGTCCCAAATTTGATTAATCATAAAGTGATGAACCTATTAGAATATTTATAAAAAAAAATACTGATTATGAAATTGTGCATGGCATGAGATGTAATTCCGCGATGAATGCAAATTTTCTATGTGAATATGATTTTTTTTCCTTCATATTTTTTAAAAGTCATTTTATTAGATCTATTTTAGAATAAATATTCTTTGGGATAGATTATTCTGCCTACTCTTATTTTGCCTATCTTTACCTACCTCTTTTAGTACCGTTTGATTGCAACCTCATCCAACGGTAGACATTTGCAGAATAAAATAAACCTTTTTTTTCTCTTTTCTTTCTCCTCACTTTCTCCCACACCCTTTCTCTCACCTCCCCTTTCTCTCTTCCTCGGCGACCAATATCAAAAAATTTCGGTAATGAAATCTCCTTCACCTCCAAAACCTCCACCATTTAAAACCTCACTTCCTCCATAAACAACCTGAAACCTATTGGATATTATTGCGCCTATTCACCTCCACCGTCAAACAGCGTTCCACCATGTTAAGAATGAGAGTGTCGATTCCAAAACCGTATTCACCCTGAATCTTATTCTCCTTCCCCTTTCCTTCATCTTCTCACTCTCATCATCGTGTTGTCTCCAAACCTCCCAAAGCAACATGTACTCTTTTTCTCCAAACCCCACCATGTTTTTGTTCTTTTTTTATACCCCCTTTCCCAGAATATTTTATTTCTTTGTAGTGTAATGAATAATTTTAAAATAATAAATAAATAAAAAACTAATTTTCAGCTTCATATAGCACGGTGAGTAGTGCTGAATGTGGTAGACAAAGGGAAATTATGGTGCAACATTTGTTGGTTAAAGAAGATGATCAGAAGCTACTGCTGGACCTTCAACAGAGAATGTCTGCATGTTAACACTTTAAGATTGTAAAATCCTAAATTATTTGTTTATACCAATGAGTGACTTGAGTCCTTTTCTCATATCAATGTTAAGTGTTCAAGTGAATATTTGAGTGATCTTGCCGTGGAATATTCAATTTGCCCATCCAAAGAAGAAGAAGGAATGCTTGGGTGCGAGAGAAAGGGGAAAATGGGGATAAAGTAGTTAAAGCAGGGGAAGCAATATTAGATAATGAAGAGAAGAGCTTAAATTTGAGTATTTGACACAGTGCTGCTAAAAGAGAATTTATAAATATGAATAGGTAGATATTGATCTCAAGTCTCATTCAGGAAAATTATAATGGTTTGAAGTGAATGTGATGGTTATAGACTATAATTATCAATAAGCAAGGACATATTATTTGCTTTGAATTCACCTTAAACCATTATATGTTGTGAGTGAAGCTATTTGCTTTCATTAGTAATTATGCAGACCGAATTTTGCTAGATTTAAAACAATTAATTCGCATCTTACACCATAAAGGAATCCCAACTCACAACATATAAGACTGTTTAAGCTTCAAACTATCATGGTTGCAGAATTCTTGCAGAAGCCAATAACCTTTGAGAGGGGGTTTTGTGTCTAGCCATCTATTTCAAGAGGTAAAAAGTTATTGGCCATCAGAAAATAGAGAGTGAAAGTATGCTTTGTCCTTTTTTGTAATGTGATGGGACGTAAATTCGTTCCCATCTAAGCCCATTTTGATGGCAAAATTCCTTACGTTCCCTCATTTGAAGAGCAACTTCAGCATGAAAATCACTTGTTTTACACATTTGTGACAAAAACACAGTGGGGGAACGTATGGTGATGTATTCCTTTAAAATATATTAAAAGAGGAACGAACTGAGAAGCATTTAATGCACCTGCTCCACTCATTTAATGCCTCTGTCCCTTTTACAGGAAACGTGGAAACAAAGTCTTCTAAAAACAGAGGCGGTGCACCACATAAGCACCAGGAAACGTGAAGAGTAGAGAATCAAGAGTTCTCATTGGCCAAGAAGAAAGCAAGGCATGAGGGACTGCACAAAATGACTAATCATCAACAACTACTGTCCCATCAAGCAATTTGCAAAGCTTCTAAACACTGTTGCCACCGCCCCGTCCCTTCATTCAAGAAACTCATGCCAAAGGATTTACAAGAATGACATTCCTCTTCTGCCTATAAATAGGACGTCCCAAATACAAAAACATCATCAAATTCTGGAGGGATTGAAGTCCTAAAAGAAGAGATCACCTAGTAGTAGTTAGTAGTTTAGCTTTATATAGCTATAACTGTAGTTAAGTGACACCCCTTCTTCTCTATTCTGTATCATCCCCTAAGACTCCTCACGAGCATCAAACCACCCTCTTCATTTTTATGTTTCGTTGTAAACTGTCTTTCAATTTAATATAAGTGTTTCTTCTTTTCGTTCCATTCATTATCTCTGAGTTGAATCTCGGGTCTATGGGACTTCAGTTTAGAATAATTATGTTTAAAATATCAGCCATGGGCTGAACTATCCGTGGAACGGATAAACTGCAACACTCTTAAAGAATTATTTTTGAAACTCTTCAGTGAAGCTTTTTGTATTTCTTTGGCTAAGTAAGCTATATTCATTGTGTATCAATGGAAATTGAACACATACTGAGAAAGGAACTTCCATAAGGAAGGGATTTCAGACAGCTTAGCCATTATGGGCAGGTAGTGTCATGGCAAAAACATTATTGGTCACCTTAGGAATAAGGGGCCGCTTCGTCCACTTTAAGGTTCTGTACTGAGTACCTGTTGGAGTCAAGGGAGCCATAGGAATATGGAAACTTGTGAGCCATCTAGTCCATGAGATGAGGAATCGGAGTTGGCAGATAAGAAACTGGGACAAAGCCAAAAGTGCTAAGTGAGCAGAGGAAATAACTATTTAAGAATGGAGCAGTGAATCTGTTCCTTCTGTTAAACTGTTTTTAAAACCATCCACTTGTTGTCTCTTAATTATAGTTATTACTGTTTTATTATTTTTACTTTATTTAATCTTGTATCTACCAAATCTCCAATGATTATTATCTCACCTTCTTCTAAACAGGAAGGATCACATATATAACACAGTGAGCAATTGTTTTCCATCAGACTGAACTTATTGTTCCTGAGAAACGTTTTCAAGACAGTAGGGAACGTTTGACCAGACAGTTCATTCACTAACTTTTCTTCTCATTTTCATTCTTTATAAAATAGTATAAGACAATATTTAGAGTTCTATCCTCATGGGAACGATAATCTGGACCTTAATACACTCATTATTACTTGATGCGTGCACTTGCGCACTTAGGTTGGAAGTAAGGGAACGAATCTGTGTTCAATATAGATATAGAACAGAGGAACGTCCCCCATCAGAACTTATATTTTTCCACCATCAGCAAACCACCCAACATAATGCAAGCTTGAAATATGCCTTCTCTTTCAAGGTGAGAAAGCCCCGAGTGTTTTTGTCGGATTGCGTCTATGAAATTACACAAACGCTTACTTTTACTGATGGGATGAACGAATAAATAAATAAATAAGCAATCTTTGGATGACTGATTCAAACTATTGAATTTTAATTACATGTTTCAGCATGCGATGAATGAATAAATAAATAAATAAATAAGCAATTTTTTATTTTTTATTTATTTATTTATTTATTTTATTCTATTGTTGTTTTTTTATTTTTTCAAAATGGATCAAGTATCTCACTCCTAACACTTTAATACTTAATATAACATATGTACAAGTATTAATGCAGGCCCTAGGCCCTTCCATCATGCATAATCCTTATACAATGTATCAATTACAAGATTTCCTATTTCCATTGCCATTTACACATCATCATATGGCCAATTTACATCATAATTT